TTAAAAGGAAGATAGACTCCAGTACAATAACAGCTGGAGACTTCAACATTCCACTTTCAGCATAGCACAAGTCTCCCAGATAGAAACTCAACAAAGAAACCTCAAAGTTAATTTGAAGCATAGAATAAATGAACCTAAAAGAAATTTAACAAACATTTCATCCAATGGTTACAGAACACACATTCTTCTCAGCACATGAATCATTTTCAAGGATACACCATGTTAGGCTCAAAACATGTCTTAAACATTCAAAACAATTGAAATAATATCAAATATCTTCTCTGATCAAAATGGAATAAAACTAGAAATCAAGAACAAGAAGAATTTTGGAAACCATACAAATGTGGAAATTAAATAGTATGTTCCTGAATGGCCAGTGGATCAATGAAGAAATAAATAAGTAAATTTTAAAATTTCTTGAAACAAATTAAAATGGAAACACAAAATAGCAAAACTTATGGGATCCAACAAAGGCAGTACCAAGAAGAAAGTTTATAGCAATAAGCACCTACATCAAAAAAGTAGACAGTTTCAAATCAATATGACAATGCATCTTAAAGAAAGCAAGAGAAAACCAAGTCCAAAATTAGAAGAAATAAAAATCAGAGTAAAAGTAAATGAAATTGAGACAAAAAAGAAAAAAATACAAAACATCAACAAAATGAAAAGCTGGTCTCTTGAAAAAGTAAACAAAATTAACAAACATTTAACCCAATTAACAAAGAAAAAAATAAAGAGAAGACACAAATAAATACAATCAGACATGAAAAAGGAGACATTACAACTGATACTACAGAAATTCAAAGGATCATTAGAAGCCACTATGAGCAACTATATGCCAATAAATTGGAAAACATGGAAGAAGTGAATACATTCCTAGATACATACAATCTACCAAGATTGATCAGTGAAGAAATCCAAAACCTGAACAGATCAATAATAAAAGAGAAGCAGCAAGGACAGTCCAACATAAGCAAATCAGTGTGATACATTATATCAGCAGAATGAAGGACAAAAACCATATGATCATTTCAACTGATTCTGAAAAAGCATTTGATATAACTCAATATCGCATCATGCTCAGAACCCTCAAAACACTGGGCATAGAATGAACATATCTCAACATAATAAAAGCCTTATATCATACTGAAGAGGGAAAAACTAAAAGTCTTTCCTCTAAGCCTGGAACACAACAAGGATGCCCAATTTTACCACCATTATTCAATATAGTGCTGAAAATCTTAGCTAGAGCAATCAGAGAAGATAAGAAAATAAAAGGCATCCAAATTGGAAAGAAAGAAGTCAAATTATCCTTGTTTGCAGATGATATAATCTTATATTTAGAAAAACCTAAAGACTCCACAAAAACTATTAGAACTGATAAACAAATTCAGTAAAGTTGCAGGATACAGAGTCAATACACAAAAATGAGTAGCATTTCTAGGTGACAACAGTGAACAATCTGAAAAAGAAATCGAGAAAATCATCCTATTTACAATAGCTGCAAATGAAATAAAATACCTAGGAATAAACTGAACCAAAGAAGTAAAAGAGCTCCACAATGAAAACACTGATAAAAGAAATGGAAGATGACACACAAAAAAATGGAAAGATATATCATTTTCATATATTGGAAGAATCAGTATTGTTAAAATGCCCATACTACCCAAAAGCAATCTACAGATGCAATACAATCACTATCAAATACCAATCTCATTCTTCATCAAAATAGCAAAAATGATCTTAAAATTTAGATAGAATCACAAAAGACCCAGAACAGTCAAAATTATACTGAACAAAAATAACAAAACTGGAGATATCACATTACCTGATTTGAAGTTATACTACAGAGCTATAGTAAACAAAACAACATGGCTACTGACATAAAAACAGACTCAGAGACCAAAGGAACAGCACAGAAAACACAGAAACAATTTCATGCACTTATAGTAAACTCATTTTTGATAAAAGCGCCAAGAACATAGGTTGGGGGAGGACAGTCTCTTCAGTAAAGGCTCTTGGGAAAACAGGATATCCGTATTCAGATGGATGAAACTAGATCCCTATATCTTACCATATACAAACATCACATCACAATGGATTAAATACTTAAATCTAAGACCTCAAACTATGAAACTACTAAAAGAAAACATCAGGGAAACCCTCCAGGACATTGGATGAGGCAAAGGTTTCTTGAATAATACTCCACAAGCACAAGCAGCAAAAGCAAAAATGACAAACGGGATCACATCAAGTTAAAGACCTTCTGCACCAAAAAGGAAACAATCAGCAAAGTGAAGAGACTACCCACAGAATGGGAGAAAATATTTGCAAATTATCCATCTGACAAGGGATTAATAACCAGAATACATAAGCAGCTCAAACAACACTATAGGAAAAAAAATGTAATAACCTGATTTTAAAAAGGGCAAAAGATCTGAATAGACACTTCTCAAAAGAAGACATTCAAATGGCAAACAGGTAGATGGAAAGGTGCTCAATATCACTGATCATCAGAGAAATACAAATCAAAACTATATAATCTCACCTCAGTTAAAGTGGTTTTTATCCAAATGACAGTCAATAGAAATTCTGGCAAGGATATGGAGAAAAGGGAACTCTTTTCTGTTGGTGGTAATGTAAATTAGTATAATCACTATGGAGAACAGTTTGGAGGTTTCTCAAAAAACTAGAAGTAGAACTATAAGATCCAGGAATCTCACTGCTAGTTATAATACAGAAAGAAAGGAAATCAGTATATTAAAGAGATATCTATACACCTATGCTTATTGCAGCATTATTCACAATAGCCAAGATTTGAAAGTAACCCAAGTGTCCATCAACAAAAAATGAATGGATAAAAAAAATGGGCTACATATATACAATAGAGTACTATTCAGCCATAAAAAGAATGAGATACAGTCATTTACAACAACATGGATGAAACTGGAGGTCATTATGTTAAATGAAATAAGCCAGGCAGAGAAAGACAAATTTTGCATGTTCTCACTTATTTGCAGAAACTAAAAACAATGAAAACAATTGAACTCCTGGCAATAGAGAATAGAATTGTGGTTACCAGAGTTTGGGAAGGATGATGGCAGGGTTGTGGGGGGGATGGAAAGTGAGTATGGTTAATGGGTACAAATATATAGTTAGATAGGATTAATAAAAGCTAGTATTTGATAACACAACAGGGTAAGCACTGTCAACAATAATTTATTACATACATATGTACATTATTACATATATTATGTAATTTATTACACACATTATTTACATTTAAAAATAACTAAAAGAGTATAATTGAATTGTATGTAATACAAAGAAAGGATAAATGCTTGAGGCAGGACACCCTGTTTATCCTGATGTGATTATTATACATTGTATGCTGATATCACAATATCTCATGTATCCTATAAATATATACCCCTACTATGTGCCCACAAAAATTAAAAACAAAAAATTTCAAATAGCTGACTACATTTTTTAAATAAAATAAAAATAAATTCTATATTCTATATGTATTAGTGACTCAGTTGGGAAACAAAACCCAGGATACTTTATATACTATCTAGGAATGGGACTACTTTAATAAGACTCCCCATAAACAATAAAAGATAATTATTGATTATACCTAAATAAAAAAGTTTGCATGTTAAAATTTACCATAAAAAGTCAATAAATTATGCATTAGAAAAAATTGACTATAGAATATAATATCTGTACTGTATAAAATCTGCTGTAAAATTATCAAGAAAAATTCCAATAATGTAATAGAAAATTTCCAGAATCTATGAATAGGTAGTTCTCAGGAAAGAAAATAAAAATATATCATTATTTTAAATTTTATCTGATTTTAAAATTTTTATCTGTTGCATACTGCTATAAAATTAATGTGATGACTTGTTATCTTCTCTTTCAACACTAGCTTCTCTCCAGATTTCCCTAGTCTGTAGTATGCTCCCATCATTAAAGACTCCCAAGCACAGGTGGTTCAGAGCGCTTTCTGACTTCCTTTTCTTCCGTGTTTAGTCAGACAGATGTTCACCCCCCTGGTCTTGGGTAGCTATCTCAACCCTGATTCTATCTCAGCCTTCCCACTGGGCCACGGAGAAGGCTAAATAGACACAGTGCGTAAAGCATGAGCACCAGATTTGCTTTACTCTCTTCCATTTACTAGGTATGTAGCACCAGGCATGATACTTTGTGGGCCTTAGTTCTCTCCTTCATAAGATGGGATAATTACACCTGCTTTTCATGGTCATTGTGAGAACAGATAGAAATAATTCATATAAAGTGTCTAGCACACTTAGGACTTTAAAAATGTGAGTTCCCTTCCCTACTTCATCTTCTTATGGTTAGTCTTGGGATTGGGAAACTGGCAAATATATTTTCTAAATGGCTACCTGGCTCCAGTGTCTTGATGTTTGAAACACCTCTATCCATTACTAACAGATTAATTGTTCCAAAACACTGCTTTTGTGATATCATTCTCCTGATTACCTATTTTATTAATCCCTTACTGCCTTCAGGGAAAATTACGAACCCTTTACCTTTACTGTCAAGACACTCATTCATCTGCGGTAAAGACAAATTTTAAGACCTTGCCCAAGATGCTTCAAACACTTTTAATTTTCTCATTTGGAAAAATGAATGATTGCCTAAAAATCTGGATTCACTTTTAGAAGAAAACATAGGAAAGCATAGATTTATCAAAGTAAATTTCACTTTATTTTTCTGAAATCTTACATTGCAGTTGAAATGTCTTTTATATACCTACTTAAGTCTTACCACACTAAATGGCAAAACTGAAAAGGATGACAGCAAGTATTGACTACAGGCATAGTTATCAGCATGGTGATGCTAATAATTAGGTATATTTGCAGCTCAAAATAATTAAAACAAGATTTTTTGTAATTATAAGTAAAAATTTAAACATTTTCTCATGTAGTTATATAACTAGTCACCAAAAAACAGCAAAAAAGTCTTCTCTTTACCTAGTACTTCTTTTTGCAAATCATAGCATCTGGTTTGCAAGTTTACTTCCTGTTGTCTAGATGTCTGAATCTGCTGAGACCTCAATATGGCTGCATCTGACAACAATTTCAGATTTTTCATTTCCTTTTCAAGGCATACATTATTTCTCTGGGATACGGTCAAACTTTTATTCAGTATGTCTATTTCTGTAAAAAATTCAAAGTTTACAAATCGGCAATAATTGAATCATAAAACATTTCTCTAAGGATTGATTAGTTTATTTTAGAAAATTAATAGTTGAAAGGCAAGATGACATTTATGAGATTATAATGACATCTAACTAAAAAGTTAAATTTAAATTCAGTTGTCATTCTGAAAATGAGAAAAAGTTTTATTGCTACATGATGCATGAAATCTTTTAGCAGTATTGTTTTTAGCTTTTAGATTGTATTAATACAACTTGCTTTGTAAATACTCATATAAATGAATAATATAAGACCTGTGTAATGTTCCGGGGTTTATTGAAATTTTTTTTTAGGCAACATGATTCAGAAAAGTAAATTTAAATGTGCTGGCATGAGCTGGTTGGGTGGCATTTCTAAGGGATTAACTAGAACACATTCTCTACAAATTATGAAGGTTTTAGAGGTACACTAGAAGGCTGGAGTGTCTAATAAATATATGGGCAAAAAGCATTAGTTAATAATATCTTAATGATTGTAATAGAATTGTGTCCCCCCCACAAATAAGGCCAGAATTCATCATAGTAATTATGTCATTATTCTATTTAGATGGTTTAATAAAATATCTTTATAGGTCTACTTAGATTTAAATGTGCTAATTTTATATAATTTCATGAGAAATGCATGGAGCATACTATCCTTCAGAAAAATAATTATCAAGCTCCACCTTCATCAGTCTTTTCTGCACTATTGCGTTAAACTAGCATTAAAACACATGAACACACATCCCACAAAGATAGTAATACTATAAAATTTGTACAACCATAATTCATTGAATTTATGACCATGTGATTTACATGAAAATTTGGACAGTCTGCTTTTCCAGACATTTCACTTGGAATTCCCTACTTTGGTTAGTCCATCCTGGACTATGTGATAGATTCAACATGTGATGAGATGTCAAAAATGGTTAGCTTCATTTATTGCTCTTGGTGCCACCACAGCAGAAACAGCACCCACATGGACCAGTGAAGACCACAAGCAGAGATACATAGGATAGACATACAGTAGAGGTAACATGGCCAGCAAATGGTTATAGGAGAAGTAAAGCAGTGAGCTAGAATAGAGCACAGAAAAGAGTGCATGTTTTATGGGATCATGATGAGGAGGATCAGGAATGTAGTAAAAGGAGAGAAAAGTTTCCATGGGTAGAAAGCATGTCTGGGAAGAAAAGTGGTATTTATGATAGACCTGGGGAATAAGCACAAGAGGTCTGGCACCTTCTCTACGTTTTTAGTTCCTGCTCAAAATGGAAAACCTAGAGAAATAAATTGGCAGAAACCAAATAAGTATGATTCTAATATAGTCCAATGATTATTTTATGTGGGAATTGTTTTCCTCAAAATAGCTATATGCTGCTAAAAGCTTGACTATGCACCCATTTGTGGGAGGAAAACTACTAACACACAGTACATAAAATTTTTTAAAAGGATGGAGTTAAAGAAAATAACGGGGTTACAATTTCCCTACATACATAAAAAGTCTTTCTGGATATTTTTGTAGCCAAAAAGGTGACTTCTTAAGGCTGAATAAACTACAACATACCATAGCCATATATATGTTTAAGTCAAAATGACACTGCAGAGCAGCACACACATGCTGTCACCTATTTATCATTTGCCAAAATTACACTGCTTAGGTTAGCAGGCTGACTCTGTTAGCATATACTACACTCTAAAATATTCATGTCAATGTGACTTTCTATGTGACATTAAAAGAATAAAATTTGCAATATAAATTTATTTGTAAAATATCTTCTAAGACATGGAAAAGTACATCATATTTCAAAACTAACAGAGGCTACAAACATTCCTAATAAGAAGTTAGGAAAAAGTAAAATGGAGATGAACTAACTTACTTTTGCAAACTAAACTGTACCTATGGCGATCCTGGTGTCAAAGATTCAATTCTACCCTTGCCATTATGCAATTCCATACTTGTCAGACATGTGTCCCAATTTGGGGTTCAGGAATTAAGATCCCCACAAGGTCAACGTGTATTGGTCATTGTATCCACCTTGAACCTTTCCTGTCTCAGCACCACCCCATGAAGAAAGTCCTCCTAACCTCATATATTCAGCTATCATCGCTCAAATGTTACCTCTGTGCAGAAGTCTTTTCGGATCTGATCTGGATGCGATCTTCGTCTTCCTGGAACTCACAGCAATTTACATCATTTGTATTGCACTGATCACATGCATACATGTGGTGTACTATTGGACTATAAGTTATTTTAAACCATAGATAATATTCATTTCTATTTCCCCCAATGTCAAATCTGACTGGCAGACTGAGTGATGGATTACAGAAGTGCAGAGACATAGGTGTTTTTCCTGTCCAAGCATGGCCAGGGAACCCCATGACTCACAGATGACCAAAAGACTGGAATCCAGCCACGGAGCCCCCATATGCTGGAGAGACTCATATTTATTTTAGAATAGATTTAATGATAAAGGTCTCAAACACCACTAGTGGGTAATTAACCATGCCGATCCCCCACTTCCCAAGCAGAGAGCAGTGCTGCACAAGGATAATCAAAGTTCTGTCTTAGGACAACATGGGTAAACTAAACACTCCTGTACCTATGGTGATAGGAACCCACTTAGATAAACTCCCTTACATTCCTTTCTACCTACTCCTTGCCTAATTGCCTCTGGGTAAGGACAGCCACCTTAGGCTCATTCCTTTTAGAAGCCTTGCAATACCTCTCGGCCTTCCAAGAAGGTCTGCATCTTTCTTATAGTTTTTACTACCACCCTGACCGATTTCTGACACTCCCTAATTTCTACCATGATGTTTTAGGATTAACAAGAGCTCAATAAATACCTAATAAATGAGTAAAGGCATTGCTGAGCAAAGCTTCTAAATTGATTTTAATATACTACTAGTTCCTGAATATGTGTTTATCTCATCCTTCATTTCAGAGGTAGGTATTCTGAACCCCACGTTTTTAAATGTCAAGGTTAAGCAGTTAAAACACATATCCAAAAGAAACATTTTTGATTGAACAAATTGATCAATTCTATCTATCCCTAATTTCATCAATTTTGTGAAAAACATGGACTACATTTCTAAGCCTAATTCTAGATCTGAATTTTAAAAGTTCAGTCAATAGTTGTTTTGGGAGTAGAATTAACCTGACAAATACTCTGCCTTGGTAAAAAATATATTTTCTGAAATTTCTTTTATTAAAATAAGTATGCTCTTGTTTAAGAAAATTTCATCTATAAAAACTTCAGTTTAAAAACATTGATTACATAAAGTGATATTCATTTGCTGGAAGAATAGGAAATATTTTACTCATACCTGCTACTCAATATTTAGCATACATTATCAGCAAGAAAATATTAAGCAATTCCTTTTCTAGGAATGTTGTTTCTGTTTTGGACTTTGATTTTAAAACAACTTAATTTTAACATGCAAATCTTTTAAAGTAGCTGACTAATATTGGGCAATATGTAGGGGGTTTACTACATTTATTAGTTTGCTAGGACTGGCAAAAGAAAGTACCATAGATTAAGTGGCTTAAACAACAGAAATTTATTTTCTCACAGCTCCAGAGACCAGAAGTCTGAGATCAAGATGTCAGCAGGATTGGTTCCTTCTAGGATGGTGAAGGAAGGATCTGTTCCAGGTCTCCTTGGTTTGCAGGTGGCTGCCTTTTCCCTGTGTATTCACATGGTGTCTGTGTACAGAACTCTTCTTCTTATGACACCAGTCAGATTGGATTAGGGGCTACCCTGATCACCTCTTTAAAAACCTCACCTCCAAATACAGTTACAAAAGGAGGTACTGGGGATTAGGACTTTAACATTTTAATGTATGAATTTGGGGGGGGGGGGGACACAATTCAGCCCATCACACTATATTTTAGCATATTTGTTATTTATAATGTTTGTACTATTATCAAAATACATGTTTTTAGCTTTTAGAATAAGTGGTAATAAATAATTCACTAGCTAATGCAAGTACAATTATTACTATTAGCCTCATGCAATCAATTTCTTTACCTTTATAAGTTTTTTTTTTTTTTGTCCTGTGAGCTTAGGCAAATGAACTCAAAATTATGTTAGTTTGTCATATTATTAGGAAACCTCTATAACCTTATTATCAAGCATTCTGATATTACAAACACAGTGTGATTAATTCACAAAACTTCACAGTTTTATTACAATAATAGGGAAAAAGACTCAGTGACTAGATTTACTAAAGAAATAAAAAACTGTACACAACTTAAAAACAAAACAAAAGTACTAAAAGTCGCCAGGCGCAGTGGCTCATGCCTGTAATCCCAGCAATTTGGCAGGCCAAGGTGCGTGGATCACCTGAGGTCAGGAGTTCAAGACCAGCCTGGCCAACATGGCAAAACCCCATCTCTACCAAAAATACAAAAATTAGCTGAGGGTGGTGGCACGTGCCTGTAATCCCAGCTACTCAGGAGGCTGAGGCAGGAGAATTGCTTGAATCTGGGAAGTGGAGGTTGCAATGAGTAGAGATCATGCCACTGCACTCCAGCCTGGGCAACAGAGCAAGACTCCGTCTCAAAAAAACAAACAAAGAAAAAACTAAAAAGTTTTTATTTTGAAATAAGTATAGCTTTACAGAAAGTTGCAAAGAAAACTGTGTAGGGAGTTCCTATCCAACCTTAACCCCACCTCACTTCTCCCCTTGTTGACATTTTGTACAACTGTAGCATACTATGAAAAGAAAATTGCACTGGTAAAATCCACAGAACTTACTTCGATTTTACCAATTGTACATACACTCACGTGTGTATGGGTGTATGTGTGTATGTGTAGTTTCATGCAATTTTATCGTAAGTGTAGCTTCATTACATATCACCACAATCAAAATACAGAATTGCCCTATTACCACAAAGCTGATCCTTGCTATCCCTTTATAGCCAAACCTACCACTATCCCCACCATCCCTAATCTCTGGCTACAACTAATCTGTTTTCTACAT